ATTATCTGCAAGAACTATTTCCAAATATTGATTAGGAGAACAAACTGTTGATTTTGGTGGAATCACAAGTTAATGAAAAATAGAATATGTTTTGCCAACTTTTTTTGTTCTGACCACTTGTAAGGTTGCTTCAAACTTTCGGTTATTCAATAGGAACATATCCCAAAGGGAAATAGGATATAAAAAAAACTGATCTCATGGTTTGGATGCTGCAGAGAATCCTGCACTTCATCAGTTTCATTTATTGAACGGTTATAGTTTCTGAAGGTAAAATACTTATCTTTGGGGTTGTAACATATGGTTTAGGTGTTGAAACAGCTTAATTTTCCCTCAGAAACTCATCTTTCATTGTGTAATTAATGACAAAGGTGACACTGATAAGGCAAAGCAACCTTGGAATTTACTTCGATTTGGCCATAAAATTGGGAAACCTGAACCACTGTTCAGGGAACTATTTAGTAACTTCCTTTGATTTACTTGATGGTATTCTGTCCATTGCTTCTTCAATTCGATGTCCTTTTCTATTGCTCTTTTTTTTTCTTTTTTGTGGGTTTCCTGCTCGTGGTTATGCGTTTCTTTTTCTGCTATTTTTTCGATGATGTCGTCTAGCTTCAAACATTCTGATCCTAGCTTCCTCCTTGGTAAGCTTCAATCAAAATCTTTCAAAGAGGTCTTACCTACTTCAGATGCCTCCGTTGATTTCCCTGATTTGAAAGTTACTACTCTAAGGGGATTGCAGGCGTTATGGATTTCTGAGGGTGAGGTGCTTCATCTTGCTAAGCCCTTTAAATATGCGTTGGTTGGGAAGTTTCCGCTTCGTCGGCCGGTTCTTGACGCGATTAGAATTTTTTTCTGCCTCAAACTTTCGGGCGAGTTTTCAGTCACTCTTTGGAATCAGAACAATGTTTTGATCAAGCTTGCTAATGTCCTCGATTATGATAGAATTTTTGCCCATATATCTTATTTTGTGTTGGGTGCTTTATAAAGTTGAAAAAATGGACCCCATATCTCGACTTATCGGAAGAGTCCCATATCGTCCCCGTGTGACTTTCTTTTCCTGAACTTCGCCCCCATCTCTTCTCCCTGCGTATTCTCTTTGGCTTGGGTTCTATATATGGTCGGCCTATATATTCACATGGATAATGCCACTGCATTAGGTTCTCGCCTTCTATGGTGCGTATTCTTGTGGAAATGGATATTTTTAAATCTCATCCTGATTCAGTTTAGCTTGGTCTTAAAAATTTGGATTATATTCAAAAGGTTGTCGTGTAAGGTATGCATAGTTTTTGTCTCATTGTAAAGAGGTGAGTCATAAAAACTCTGAATGTGCTAAATTGCATCCTCAGTTGAGGAGGTTGTAGTCTCTGTCCAGCCGAATGCTGGCTTAGGTCCGATTAATACGGTGGTTGTTAATGAGCCGGAAATGAATAATGTTGGTGAGCATTGTGAAATTGTGATTGTTGCAGATTTAAACGTGCATGGTTATGCTGCCATTATTGATGTTGTTCATGAGGTTTGTGAGGGTTTGGTTGATGTTGTGGATAATTGTAAGTCATTAATTCAAGTGGATGATTCTCAGCTTGATACCTCTCATACTCCTATTGTGTTAGCTTCTAAGGGTATCTTGTGAATCTTGTTAATGTTGCAGTGTGTGATGTTAATAGTTTTGATGTGTTTGATTCTCCTAGTGGTTTGGTGTCTCATCCTAGTGTTTCTGTTGTGGTTGAATCGGTTGTAGGTACTCGGTCAGTGGCTATAGCTTATTTTAATGTAGATGGTGTTAATGATAAGTTGGATGTAAATAACTGTGGGGTTAGCCTGTGTGCTAAACTAAACCCTTCTTCTAATTTTGTTGTTGGTAGGGATGTTGGTTTTGATATTGATGGTGATTTCTTTATGCCTTGCGGGTTGGTCCCTGGGGAACCCTCTTTGGGGGGTTAGATGTGTAGGTTAATGATCCATCTAACGAGTTTGAAGATGTTTCACTTGTGCATCCTCTTATTGTGGTAGTTTGTCCTAATAATGAGATTCAAAATGTATTTGATGGGTCGATTTCTATTATTTTTAAGGATGATTTAAATGCTCACTTGTTGTTAACCATGAATGAATCTTGTTTGGATCAATCTGATTGGCTTGATAGGTCTGCTTCCTCTTCTTGCGGGAGTGTTGGAGATGATTTGGGTGACCCCATGGGTGATTTTCATGAATTGCATAGTTTGAATGTTGGACATCTCAATCATAAAGATTTTTCTCATGGTGGTAACAAAAGGCAGGGGAGAAAATTAAAAAAAAAAACACTAGTTGGGTTTTTTCTCCTTTGTCTCTTGTCGTTCAATGGTTGTTGGTTTGTCTTTATCGTTGCAGGATTCTTTGGTTATTACTTTTAGGTTTTGGTTATTGGATCTTCTGGCTGCTCTCTGGAACAGTGGATATTCTTATTGCCCAACTAAATTTAACAATTATTATTAATTAAATGTCATAATGAAAATAATTATTTATACCATACGTACTATACTTATATTTATTCTTCTTTATTATTTTTTGATACTATTATAATATAAATTTCTTTCTATATTTCATTATTAAGTATATTTTATGAATATATATTTTTGAGGCAATATAATATATAATGAAATCATATACATTATATTATTTATTCCTATAATTATTTTTATTCATATTATAATAATAATTTCTATTTTATGTATATAATACACATATTCAAATGTATCTAATATATTTAATTAATATAACTTTTGTTTCAATTCATACTGAAGGCGTTA